CCCCCCCCCCCCCCCATCTCTCATCTAATACAGCAATTATGACGGGCGATTCTCAGGAGATAGGAAGTATTAAAATTCGATCTATATCGCGATTCGGCGCGATTAATGCCGGCGCGAACTGCGTGGTTGCTATTTGTGTGAGGAAAATATCGTGGAGGAGAAGTCGGGTATGAATTTGCGTCGCAAGCGAGCCGTCTTTGTCTGCAAATTATTCTATCAAGTCTGTTGGGATTGTCAATCCTGGCTTGCGAAAATTTCCCCTCCCGCGAATGCTCCGTAATTCAAGGTCTATCGTCGCGGAAAACTCACGAGCGAATTGTTCTCGGCTCCGTATTGCTCCGCCGAGTGTGTTTATTCTTCGTTAAGCCTGGAGTTTAATTCACGAAGAAACGAAAATATCTCTCTTCCTTACGCGTCCAATTTAAAGACTATTGTCGAGCAAAACTCGCGAGCGAATTATCTTTGTCTTTAAATTACTCTTCGAATCTGTTTAATTTTTTTGTTATCTAAAATCTAATTCGTGGAAAAGATTTTCCTTCTAATAATCATAACTTAAAGAGTTATTGTCGAAAAAAATTCACAAGCGGGAATATGGTCTTAATCGAAAAGCCTAATTTGCGAAAAAATACTCCCCCACCCTCTTAACGCTCATAATTCGAAGACTGTCATCAAGAAAAATTCGAGAGCGAGTTATTCTCGTTTCTGAATTACTTGTCGAGTTTGTTTAGTCGAATTTACTTATGCCCGTTTTTATCGTCATAATTTAAATCTAATTGATTCAATGAAATTAAAGATCAATTAGCTGAACTGATCAATACGATTGGGCAATTCCGTCGTCAATTATATTTGAACTTTGATGGCAGAAGAGGCGACTGATTGTTGAGGTTTCGTTAAGGGGATGTCAGAACGCCAGAATTCACCAGAATTCATCAGAATTTTTGGAACAAACTATTCGTTTTGTCAAACTATTCGTTTTTGTTTTGTGTTTGGCTACACAGAATCATAAATTCTTTCACATGATGATAATACATACGTTAATATAGTTCAGGCTGGTTTTACTTTATAAAACGAAAACGAAAACAAGAAGAAGTTTAAAAACTGTAATTCAGTTTATTAGTTCTTATATTGATATGACGTCTACAGCTATTAACCAAAGATATTATTTGCTTCATACAAAAGTTCTGCAGGTTATGCGAACAAAGAAAAACAGGCCGGGGTATAAACAGCACTGTAAAATACTATTTAACTATTAGAATTAAGTTCAGAAACTTAGTTTTAAAAAATAATTTACCTTAAAATCTGGTGTCGATATGTGCGAAATTACCGATATAGTAGGCTGAAAAAGAGTACTATATAGTTTCAGGATCTGCCATTAAAGGCGCTGTGTGTTACGTTTTGTTCTCATATGTGTGTACGCACACTAATGTATTTCTCATACAAACGTAACAGCAAAAAGCTTAGTTGAATAAAAACTAACTATCAACATTTTTCGTTCTCTGTTCCTCATACATAAACACACATATCATATATCTAATGATATCGATAACGTCGTAACGTAATGTTACTAATGACTTTATTACCGACACTTCGGAGTTCGACAGTCACTTCGACATCCCTTTAACTCGAAAGTCCGCGCAGATAAGAAGACAAATTTCGTCTAACGAATGTAATTGTTTCGATCTTTCTTCTAACAATATTTGAATTACAATTAATCAAATAGACACACTGTCGAGAAAAATTCGAGAGTAAGTTATCCAAAATAGCCCATCGAGTTTGTTTAATCGTTCTCGTCAATTCTAAAGTTTCATTCACGTAGATTAGAAGATCATCTTTTTCCTAACGAAAGCTCACGAACAAATTGTCCTCAGGCCGCGAGTTCTTGAGAGGAGAGTGCTCCTTACTTCGACACACAGGGATCGCCTTTAAAGCCGGCCATTTGCCAAAGTCTACATTGACCCCGTCTGCAACCCCTATTCCAGCTCGTAGCAGCTACAACTTTACGCGATGCTGCATATACGAGCGAACTTCCACCGTTACCAACCACCATTATAACCGACGACGTGAGTCGCTTACGCGATTTCCGTCCCCTTGTCTCCCTCCCCTCTTCTCTCTCTCTCTCTCTCTCTCTCTGTCATGCGTTTGCTTTTATACGTATACACGTGCATAGTCAGCACTGCAGACACTTAGGCACACAGACTCGTGGACACCACCTAGTTTGTATAGGTACACGTGTTACACACCTGTATCGACGGAGACGCGTTTACGCGAATATACCGGTCGGCCGTTAAAACCGTGTCGCGCTTTATTACCGGTCGCCATGGCGGCGGCTACGATGCTAAATAATTCACGACTGCGTTAAGGTCGCCTGGATTTATTTATAAGCTCGCGCTCAGGTGCATCGAATGCAACAGTAGAAACAGACCGTTAGGCACTCAGGCCTTCGTTTCAAGAACGGACGAGATACGAGAAACGGCGTCGACTAGAGAGTCACTCGATCTTAGCGACTCCGCGATATTCTCTCAGCCTGATCGCTTAACTGAATTCCGGTATTCTAATGAGATTGAAGTATCTTCGAAGTGTCTCGAATTCGGGTTATTATTTATCCGCAGTCAATATTCATCGAAATCATATGCCAGCAGCGAACGGTTGGAATAAAATTGATCACATCCTTGAAGACATTCATCGAGATCTCTCATCTCAGATTCGGCCGGTCGAAGAAATCTCTAATTGTTCGCAAAGCTTCCTCTCTCTTAGATCAACCGTCTTCATCCAACCATTAAAAACGTTAACCTAATAACATTTCGTATTTATTCGTAAAAAATCCCAGTTAAATGCGAGAATTTTCAAGAAGTAAAAATATTGCAAAAGTTTAAAGGTAGATATTTTAAGTCAAGAGAGGGAGAGGGGACAAAAATTAGAAGGAAGTTAATTAAGAAATTACACGGTTGGCGAACACAAGGTAAACCGCAAATTATCGAAGCGACGAATAATCCAAAATATGCGTTGCATAAATTAAGCAATATTATTACACAATATTCGCATTTATACTCGCATTAACGCCTGCGCTTATTTAAATTCATATTGGTCTCTGGTTGATTTTCAAATTTTATTTTCAAACTGACAGTTTGGTCCATTTATATATTACATCAAGTATCTG